TATATGATGGAAGAAAAAAGATAAAATGTTAGAGGAAATGTTCCAGAAATGCTGAAATAGAAATGAAGGACTGAAATAATCTACCTATACTTTATGCAGTGGCATAGGTATAAAGAATACTGTTGGTTTCTTTATTTTACTTTACCAAGAATCCTTTTTCTTCCCAAGAAAATTGTTTATGCAGAATGTCCTGAGAAGCTTCATTTTTTATTTATATATCCATATATATGAGTGGTGGTAATTTGAAGTCCTCCAAGCAATCACCTGTAAATTACAGTCTTTCTAAGCAGCAGTATATATCCACAAATCAGTCCCAGGACACTGAAGCTATATGTGAAAAGGTCTATTTATGTCACTCCAGACAGAGAAAAAAAATTTGCTCAGTTTTATAAAAGAAAATTTCTTATTAACATGCATAGTTAATTGGATATTAAAAAAAAAAAAAAAGAAGAGCCCTTTAGAAGACCTAGGGTGACTAGAAAGTTAATCTACTGAACTCCCGAGCAGCGTGATTTCACAGGGCAGCCACAGCAGTGCGTGTCCCTGCTCCGCAGGTGCGGTTTTATCGGCGGCACAGCGCTGAGCACAGCCCCTGGGTAGGGCTCCTGTGCAGCACTCTGGCAGGGGGAGCGGGGGGCAGCCACACTGCCCGGTGCTGGTTCGCAACAGAGAAGTCACCAGGAGTGACTCTGAGACCCCAAATCCCCCCTCTCAGCAGCAGGCAGCCCTGGAGCCCACTGGGTCAACCCATCACCAGCCGTGATGGGGCAGGTGTACTGGTTTGAGCTATTGCTAATGGGACTGAAATCTGAGCTAATTTTCCTTGCCTAGTATAGCCAGCCATCACCATATGCACAAGTAGGTGTTGGTTTCCCCCAAACCTTCCCACTGAATAAGCCTGAGTTGCCTCCTCGGAACCCCGGTTTGGGACAGGGTGGGCATCAATGGGCAGAGTTAACTTCGGCCGACTCAACCCCGCCAGTGATCTGTATGTGAGGAATCACAGCAGTTCCAAGCACAGCGTAGCTGTACCTGCAGCTTTCTCATAGCCTTTGTCTTACCCACGGCCCAGATCTCCTGCTGTAAATGCAATGTTTTGGGGGTGTGAGGGAGGCAGGTTTCAGGAGTGCTGCTAGATCACATTACCAGCAATAAAGGACTTGAGTTTCCAGGACCTTGAGCCTCATCACTTGTAACAGCAGAGTCAAGATCACACGTGCACTTTTTAAAATACACTTTTCCTCGAAGTGAGCTTTCGGAATAAGCCACTCACGAAGCCAGAAAATGACATCAACTGAAAGTGCCATTCAATAAGTGGGCACTTAAGTGGCAGGAGAACTTTACAGAGGACGAAGCATCTGATTACTGCAGCTTTTCCTCTCATAAATTACATTCTTGGCTTCCCTCTCCTCTTCCTCCTCCTGTCCAGCTGAGCATCGCTGAAGATGAAAAAGAAAACTATTAGTTGTAGTGGATCAAACATTTGAAACTAAAAATTAACAGGCAAAAGTATCCAGGGCATTTTCTCAAACACTCAGGTGAGTTTAAACATGAGGTTGCAGCAGCCCTGCTTAGGTGGCTTTTGTCTTCATCTTCCACCAACGAGCAAGGTTTGCCTGCACAGAGTTTTTCATGTTAGGTAGGTGAATATTAAGCCTGTCCATACAAGTCCTTGCATTTGCCATGTTTTCAGGGAAATGGGAACTTTCTAGGACCTCTGCTGTGGCCAGGCAGAGGGAGAATGCCAGGGTACTCTGATGAGGTGCCAGAGTGGCAAGTGGTGTGAGCTGTCACAGTTCACCAGCACAGCCCAAGCACAGCCAGTGTGCTCTCACCCGTCCCAAACCAAAAGGCAAAAAAGCAAAATCCATTAATTCTGGATACCAACAGATTTGGGAAAAGCACAGCCCCTTCACAGACTTTCAGAAATAGGAGCTATGTTTGTTGAAGAAATTATTCACCGTGAATTATTTGCTCTACTAATAAGCTTCTTTCCCTCCACGTCTCACACTCACCTCTCTTCCCAAGTACCTGGGTATCAATCAGGCCTCGCTCTGCAGATATTACCAGAACCACCCAAAATTTACAACAGTGCTGGATTGAGGAGGCATTGCCTGTGCAGAGGGGCTGAGGGGAGAAGCCCCCAGACCTCACGGCAGCCCCAGGCTGTGTGTCGCGGGGCCGTCACGCCGCAGGGATGCTCTCCTGGAGCGATGCCGCAGCCACCCGGTGCCACCGTCTGTCTGCGGCCATTCGACTGCAGGAAACCAAAGGCAGCATATGCTGGGGGATGTGAGGGGACGGGGGAGCGGAGCCCTGGTGCTCAGAGCAGGTGGCAACGCCGAGAAATAACTGCAAAGCTGACTTTACAGCCAGCGTGCTTTTTCCTACAGGTTTCCTGAGCCTGGGGTTCCGATTGCGAATTGTCCCCACTGCGAGTTCATTCGCTGTGGTACCCCCAGCACCAGGACAAGCCCTGCCAGGAGGCACTGTCCCAGGAGCCCAGTCACACGTCCTGCAGACACGAGTGCAGAGATAGCTCGTGCACTCTGGGTGCTATCCCCCAAAACTTGCCCAGTGAGAGTCTGCACAAGCCTCGGGCTTGCTTCTGCAATCCCTCTCCCACACCGCTGGCCAAAATCAGCACAGAGCTGATGTGTTCTGATCTTGGGGAAACTGTGCCCAAAAAAAAAGGGCTCTCTCTGCTGTAGTGCAGGGGACAGGGAGGGGATAGCAAATGCCATCAGGGTTGAAAGGCTTCAATAATTCAAAGGTTTTTGATCTTGCAATAATCCCTTTGCACAGTGCCACTTAGTGCAGACTTTGATTAAGGGATATCTTGTTAGCCAGTGTTTAAAAGAGGAGGGTTTTTTGTAGTTTTTGCCTTTTTAAAAGGGGTTTAATGCTTGCACTGTCTTCATGCCGCTGGAGTACTGTGACACAGCCAGGCATCGCAGCAGCCTGGCAAGTGCCAAGCTCCTGGCCATTAATTGCCCGGTGGCTCGATGTCCTCCAGCTCCTTCTCCTCTTCCAGCTCCAGACATTGATGCATTTTAAGCTAAAAGACCAGCCAAATTTATTGTCTTCCATTAGTCTAATACAATACAATTTATTTTTAAACAGCTTCTCTCATGCAAAAGCATCCCAAAATGATTCACAGCAGATGACAGACTCTGCATGCAAATCTGGGCATTTTATACCCTCCTGCATGATGCGGTGCAGATCGTCCTGCTGGCTGGACCACAACCAGGCAGATTTAATTATCCACAAAATGGCATCATTGCGCTTTTTCCCGGAGAACGTGCAATCAAAATGAGGTAAATACAGGCAACGACAGATATCGGCAGAGCCAGGGAAGAGACCAACATGCATTAAAACACAAAATGAAGGTTGATCAAATCACACTGGGTGTAAAGATGCTCAAGACTTGGAGGAGAGGAAGAAATGCAAGGAACAAGCAAGGTGGTGGGTGGAAGCCAGCAGCACAGAAAGCGGGAGCTACTACAGAGGAGCAGGGAGCCGACCCAGGACTCGGAGGATGAGAAAAGTACAGTGGCTGGATGGGAGATGAGCTTGTTTGTATCAGTTCAGGATCTACCCTGATGCATTGCCACAAACGAACAACAAGCAGTTCCCCAAAATGCACTTGAAGTTTGTTGGCCAAGCCTCTCCCCTGAGTTGTGGTGAGGAGAGACTTACTCAAATGACCGGGGCGGAAAGCTCCCACCACAACAGCACGGCTCAGTGTCTCTCCGGCAGCCCGTGCCCCTGGCAGGAGGGGGGCAGTTTTGTGGGAGCCCTGTGACCGAACAGGGGTGTCACTCCCTCCCGCGGGGCTGCAAGGTGCGGGGCAGGCAGGGAGGGCTCACCCCAGCTCACGGGAGTTGCATGGAGGTTTGGCACTAGCGGTGAGGGCAGCCAAGAGGGTCCAGCACCATTATCTTCCACTGGCCCCATTTTTAAGTGATAAAAATTATATACGGCCTGGCAATTCAGGGACGGAGAGCTATAATACAACAAAGATTTGTCCTTTGACCAAGGGGATTTGACTTAACTGGTGATTCAGCATTTCTTTCCTCACACACCATTGCAGCTCTTAGCAAGAGGTCAGATTTACATAGCACCTCCACATACCTCATGCCCATCACCTCCCTCCACGTGAGGCTCACCCCATTCCCCAGGTGCACTGCAGACACCTCCTGCACTTTCTTCAGCCCCCAAAAAAGACCAGAACATCCCACTGCGATACCTGTTTCCACCAGGCACTCCCAGCATCACTCCCCAAACCAGGTCTGGTCCCCCAGCACCTGCAGAAGATATGGCCCTGAGCATCTCGCTGCAAAAGACCTGCAGCTTTTCCAGCACAACCCCTGGAGACAATTACAGAGACAGAATAACGACCTGTGGGGACCTGTGGGAAGCAGCGGGTCAGAAACCTGCCTTTTCCCCCATCAGTGAGGAAGTCTTCTCTTTAATTTCCCTGGACTGCCTGCCTCTCTACAAAGAAATGAGTAAATACAGTTCAAGGATGAGCCGTGCCACTGATAACTCCCATTTTTATAAAATCTCATCAACAATAGGGACTGGGAGCGTGTGGGCTGCCACGCCAATAGAGCTGGTCACCTGCTGGAAGTCAAAACCGAAGTGATGGTTTCAGCACTTCTTCACCAGGAGAAGACGGGCGGTGGCGTGGGGTGAGCCGCACCACGAGCACTGCCCGAGGTGACCGTCCCCCCAGCCCCTCGCCTTTGTGCCCCGGCCCCGTGGTCCCTGAGCACATCCCTGGAGCATCGAGCACGTGCCCGTGTGCACTGAGGGGGCTCTCTGCCCTCACTGGTGCTTTGGTGAGGCTCACAGAGGGGTAGTCAGGGTTTGGGTCAAGCTCAGGGTAGGTGCTTAGTAGTTTTTCAGGGTTTTGTAGTTCACAATGTTATCCAGCGATGTAATAATCATGGTGCTTCAGCTGTCTCTAGAAAGGACAGTGACTGCAAGGAGAGGACTTATTAGAAAGCTCATTCTTTATTTAAAAACCAGAATAAAGTTCTTTGGGGAGAAATTAAATCATGGAAGTAAAGAGCCATGAAAGGATACCAGTGTGGGGTTTAGCAGTATGTGGCTCGGAGCTGGGCTTTCCCGGCTCCTGGCTAAATTCAACGAAGCAGGGCCTCCGGGGAGCAAGGGCAGCAGCGCAGGCAAGCAGCATCGCCCACCAGCAGCATATAAAGCACCTGCAAAAGAAAAAGAAATCATCATTTGTGCACGAGCGCATGCTGTAGGACCAATGCAGCAGTAGGGGAGCCTGTATGACCCAGCAGGCCATTATACGACCACAAGCCAAAATAACGCCCTGCCCGTGGTGGGTGCCCTTCCCCGCTGTGCCGTGCCTGGCCACCAGCCCCGGCCGAGAAGGAGCCGACCCCTCTCCCTGCCCGGCTCGCCGGTGCGGCCGGCCCCGCGCCACAGCCCCTCGCCGAGCCCGGCACACGCTCACAGCTTTCACGTGCTTTAGCTGGAAAAGGACTCCCTAGGCGTTATTTCAAGTCAGACGCCCCAAAAATCAAAGCATCCCACATGATTAATCGCGTCCCACATGATTAATAGCATAAAAGCTGTCTTGAATGCCTTGATTCTTCTTTTTTTTTTTTTTTTTTTTTCCATAAAGAAACAGACAGCTCGTGCCATATGAGAAATAAATTTTTCTTTCTAATTTTCTCCTTGTCTGTAGAACATTTATAAAGTAGAAAAGCCAGCGGCAAAGTATGTCAGAATTGTCTTTTAAGGGGTTAACATTTGTAAGATGAATGCTGCAAAAACTTTTTTTTTTTTTTAATTAAAAAATATATTTCTGGAGCAAAAACACAAGCAATAAAGAGTGTTTGCCTGTTGGGAGGCTTGTTTTGTAATGCAGTATAAATAACCAGCTGACAATCCGGTTTTTTGTTTTCTCTTCGTATGGGCAATGGCCACGAGCCAGCCAACTTTATTGTCCTTGAAATGTCATGATTTTGAGTATGCACAGAATTCTTAACTGCCCAAATTACTGCATAACATCCTTTTTTATTATATGGCAACAATGTGATCCTGGGCTCAAAGACTTACTAGTTAAGAAGATTATGTGTTTTCCTTTTTCTGTTTTGTGAAAGTGCCAAGTCTTACATTTTTGGCATCTTCTAAAGAATAAAATGTCTTCTGAAATATTCTCTCCGAGTACAGAAGTTACCTCAGAGGAGCTCAGCAATGCAGGGCTTTTCAGTACTTTCTAGTTTGCTCAGAAGTTCAGACGCATTTCTTTTCCTCAAAAGCTTCCAATTCTTGCCTCTTTGTGTGTATTGACAGCAAAAAAAAATTGTCCTTCATAAGTTTGTGTTGCTTTACTTTACCGATAATTTATTTCTCCCTCCTTTTTTTCTTTTCCCTTCCCAAGCGGCGGACGCTTGTGCCGGTGGGCGCGGGCGGGCAGGCGGCGGGCAGGCTCTCCCCCTGCGCCCGGCCTGCACCCCGGGCCGCCTCCCCGCAGCCGCCCCCTCCTGCCAAACCCCAAATGCCCGCCGCCCCGCAGCCCCTGCGCCCCGCCGGCACCCCCGCGGCCTAGCCACGGTGCTTTCACGAGCCTACCAGGAGAACGGGGAGTTGTACCCAAATTCAGCTCCGGCACACGTGCGAAACCCCCCGTTGGCGGGAGATGGCCCCGCCAAGAGCGGGACGGCGCCGGCTCCCGCCGGGCTGGTCCCCAGCAGGCGGGGACGGGAGGCCGCTGGAGAGGGCAGGGGCCCGTCACCGCAGCCCTGGGCTTCAGCGTGGCGAGAAACGGCGTGGCTTTTCGGGGCCGCCTCGGCAGCCCTCCTCCTCCGGCGGGTTGCGCCTCCCTGGGAAGGGATCCTTTTAAATCTGTTTTCGCCAGCTGACATTTAAGTATGAATAAACAACTATTATGCATGCACTAAATATTCATGTTTTACAACATTGCCATTACACTGAGGAATTATTTATGAGGCTGCTGCTCCCCACTGGGGTGAGGGGACGCAGCGCGGCGTGGCCGGCAGCAGCCCCCCGGGCCTGCTGCAGCTGAGCGGGGACGTTGATGTTTCTTGCCAAAGGCTGGGGTTTCCCAGAGCCTCCTCGGGGTGCAGAAACAAGACATCCTGCTCTGGAGGATGCTGTGTGCTGAACCTCTGTGCTCCCATCAGGACTCCTGGGACACCTTTCCCCCTCCTCTGCAGCAGGCAGAAGAGAGGACATGGCCTCACCCTCCCGATCCGGGGTCCTGGTACAGCACTGAGTGTGCTACCAAGGCACGACGCTTCACTGCATCTCCGGGCTGTGTTTGGCAAGAATTTAGGAAATAATAATTAAAAAAAAAAATAATGACAAAGATACGCTCTTTTCAGAAAACCAAACTGCAAACAGAAGTCCCCCCCTTCTGAACCTGAGCGTTGAACATTAAAGGGGTTACGTGGGTTAAATAATAGACTTACTGAAAAGCCATTGTTAAAGACTGGTGGTAACGGTGGAGTGGTATCTGCAGCCAGCATGATTTACACATGTGCCCAAAGGCACCAGGGTGCTCCAGCATGGCCATATGCCTGGGCTCAGCCCCAGCAGCCCCCCACGGGCAGGATCAGGCCCCCCCTTTGTACAGCTGCTGCTGGAAGATGGGGACAGGGACCCCTTGGATGGTGTTTTGGCCACCCATTGCCCTCGAGCCACTGCCTGGAGACCACGGCTGGAGGAGTCACAGCCACGGAGGGACCCAAAGCTGCAGGGAGAAGAGCGATCCATCGGCTGTCGGGGTGGCTGCCTGCCACGGGCTGACCTTTGAGGGTGACAGCACGTTTCTGAGCACCATTGCAGACCAACCTATTACCACCAACAGGCTATGTGTAACTCCCCTGGGATAGCCATGGATGGCAAAGTGCATAGGGAAGCATTTTAAGGGTGCAAAAAGCCAGGTGAGCTACAGAGGGAGAGGCAGACCAAAGGGAATTGGTGCTTTCCCTGCCTCGGTGCTCCCACCACGTGCAGGCACCCACCGCTGAGATGTGCACAGGGCTGCAGGATGAACCTCAGTGTGAAACAGTGGTTGTGAACAACAAGGTTTTCATTAAATAAAAAAGCAATTTTCGATGGTTTCTACAGGGATGTCAAGACCTTTAAGTAAATACTTGATTCTATTTAATAATAATAAAGCTATTCCCAAGGTCATTTTCTTAGTAAAATTGCCCATAAAAGTTCAGGTTGCATTAGCAACATCTCCTTCCAGGAGTATTACCAGTGAGGGCTAAAAGGAGCAGCAAAACCCTGTCTGCCCACCCCCGGTCAGCCCGCACTGGGCAGTGCCTGCTGCCCCCATGCTGGCCTGGCTCGCCTGCACCACAGGAATTGATTTGCCCAATTGGACTTGCTTTGGCACGGCATGGCCATAAGAAAAGTTGTGGGCTACATGTATTTTGCAGCACTGAGAAACAAAAGGAGTGACCCACCAACTTCTTGCTCTTCTCAAAATAAATTTATTTTTGTTACTGAAATGTTCATGCCAGGAAGGAAGTTCCTGGGACTTCAGCTTCATGTGGCCAAAAGCCACTTGCCCAGTTCAGCCACCTCAGCCTCCTCTCCATCACCTGGGCAGGAAAAAATTGCGTGTGGTTTGGATAGGATGCACGTGTGCGTACCTGGGTCTGATTCACACTCCTTTTCCAACATCTGACCCGTTTGCCTGCTTGGTAGCTTTTGTCCTTATGTGTTGAGCTAATGGTGGTCCAGGCAGCGGTGGGAGGAGATCTGGCACCAGGGAGAGTGATTTTTCATGGTGGAAGGAGGGCTGGCCATCAGAAGGGATGACAGAGAAGTGATACAGCAGCAAGTTAAATCGTCCCCCACCTTAGACTGCCTGAAGCCTTGGATGGGAAGGTTTAGCTGGGACAGCCACAGGAGCCCACACCGGCCTCAAAGCCGTGGGGCTGTGGACAGTGCACTATATTCATATTATTTATATTTACACTTATACTAATGTTTATATTACTTCTGAGATGTTTCAGAGTGCTTTTGTGGCAAAATTGACCTCTGCTTTGGGCACTTGGCCTCTAATTGCTCACAATAAACTACCAATATTTGCAGCTGACTCCCCACTCCAGCTCTCCGACTCCTGCTGATTCTCCAGGACCAAACCCTACTCCCAGCCATTGCTCCTCCTCCTTCTCCAGCCCTGCTTTCTCTCAGGCCTTCACTGAAAACCTTCCTCAGCATCACAAAGCGGCTGCCCTGCCAGGCGTCTCAGCCTGGACACAGCCATCCTTGGCATCCTTCACGGTTTTGCCATTGAAAGCAGATCGAGATGGACAGACAGACAGAGTCATTCAGTCCCTGTAAGCTGAGATACCTAAATGGAGCTGTGCAAACCGGGACCTCCCAGAAGCCGGTGCCTCCGGCGGGGCTCAGCCCTGCCCCGGAGGGCACCGCAGGGGCTCCCTCGCCCCGGGGCTAGTCCCTGCTGCCTATGGAGAGCACAGGGGTGCGCACCCCGACTTCCCCTCCCTGGCTCAATTCAATGTGACTCGACTGGGTTGATGAGCACCAGCAGAGGAGAAGCTGGAGCGACCCGATGAGTTGGGGCACAGGGGGATTGGCAGCCAGGGACCAGCCCCGCGTCTGAATGGCCTCCGCTAGCAAAACATCTGCAACCTCCTCCTCTGCTAAAAAGCCCATTTTTGTGCAAGAGCCTGACATTGGGGGCATCAGTGGCATCAACCTGCTGCTGTCCCTTCTCTTTTGGAAATAATATTATAAACTCAGTGCAGGCAACTCTGCCGCTCGCTGGCCAGTACAACGGCAGGCAGCAATCGCTAGAGCAGGTGGAAAGCCGGCTGCTCATAAATAGGGAGAGGGTTTAGCAATGTGGCACATAGTGAGCTAATAAGGAATTAAGCCAGAAACTTAACACTCACAAAAGCCATCTCCATCTCCAGCAACACCACATCCCCTAGCCTAGGGGGAACCGGCCCCAGTAGCCGAGTCACCAATGTCACCTGCCACCGCAGGGCATCCCCAGCCCCATCCCACCCCCGCTCCCAGCCCCGCAGCCCGCACCGCAACGTGTGGGGCTGGAGTAAAGCCTTCTCGGCTGAGAGCAGTGGAGGGCCGGGAGCTGGGTCGGCTGGGGAAGCAGCTTTTGAGCAAATGCTTGAAGGGCTTTGCTCACACTCTGTCCTGTCCCATCCTCCAACCCCCAGCAATTTGGAAGTGAAGTGTGGGGCTCGCCGCGCTGGCGGAGAGACCTTGGTGAGTCCTGGCACGGGAGCACCCCCTAAAAGCCTGAGGAACCTGTTGGTGTTGCAAATGTCTGCCGCTGTGCCCATACGTCTGCTGATTTCCATACTAAAGACGTTTACTGTATATGTTTGCCACCAGGGAAAACTACTGTCTACGACTCAGCTCTATTACTGGAAGAGCAGCAGCGGTATTTGTGCTATTGTGAATATTGCATTTCCAGGACCTGCTCGATGGCTTTCAAAATCTTCCTTCCAACTCCCCAAGTCCCCCTGCAGCCAATTAGCAAAAACGCCTGGTTGGGGTGCCGGCCTCCTCCTCTGCGTGGCAGTGCCACACCAAGGGGCTCGCGCAAAACGGTGCGAACCATCCCTTCTTGGCATTGGGAAGCACAGCACGCAAGCCAATGGCAGAGGGATGAAATGCAAATATAGCATTTCTTGTAAAGTAAATTAAGCTAACGACGAGGTAACAAACTGCTGTTAATATTAGATTAACTTGTTTGGCAAGATATGAAGTAGAGTGAGCTGGTTTGTCGGTAGCAGAGTGCTCAATAGCGCTGATGGTGCTCAGGGAAGTATAACTTCCCTCTGAAAGACAGAGGCATGCACACAAAGAAAAAAAAAAAATTAAGACCGGAGGAAGAGCCAGAATCTGTGCAGCAATTACACCAGCATTAAAGATGAATGGAAAAGAAGCTTGAGATTTTGATTGCCTTTAAATACTGGCTTGTTTTTAATCTCGAAATCAGTGTGCTGTGATCAGCCATTAGTTCCGAGTACAAAAAAAAAAGAGAGAACAGATCCTACATTTTAACATTTGTAGTATGAACTTAAAATACCACTTTGATCTAAGATAAGGAGGCAAATGGCAGATAATTTAGAAGTTAAAGCCAGTTGCGTGCGGTTGGCAGCTGGCAGTGGCTGGGCTAACTCTGGGAACGATGGAGACTTGGACAGAGGGGTCACCAGCAGCTGTGTCCTCGATGCGGGGACTGAGGCACAAGCTTAAATGTCATACTATATGCCAGTGGTCACTAAACTGATTAAGCAGTGGTTATCTTTAGCAGTAAAAAGGCTATCTGCTAATACTAAATGATTAGAGTCTAAAATGCCATTTACTCTGCTCTGATTCCTTGAATGAATATTTATGCCAAGTGATGACTATAACACCATCAAAAGGTTTCTGTTCTCTGCTCCATAGAGTGGAAGTGATTATTCAACAGCAGGTCTGCACTCCAGCACTTGTTTCTATTAAGCAAATTTGCAGCGTTCAGACAAAAATTCATGATTGCATTGTGCTCCTGGGATTTTTATTTTTAAAGAAATGCGACTTCCAGTGCCCTCTGGGGCATGGGCTGTGGCAGGTGGGCCTTGTCCGCTGTGCAGACACAGAAAAAAGGAATACAGACGCTGCACAATTTCTCCCTCTTTTTTTTTTTTTTTTTTTTTTTTTTAATATAAGACAACAGGACATTTGCCACACCCCATTCAACAGCAACAAGCTGTGTACTGTCCCAGGCTTTCCTCCCACCCACCAGTCAGGGCTTTTGCATGAAACAGCGCCACAAAATTCCTCGTTAGGCACCAGGAATTGGCTCTACAGCCCCAGTGACAAATCAAGAGGGCTGCCCATCAGAAATGAAGCCCCTGCACCCCGGCGGGGGAGTGCTGCCTGCATTTCATGGCAAGGGCAAGTGCAGGGAGGCAATGAGACACCGTTGCATGCGAGTCACAGCCCGGGTGTAACTAACCCCCCCGTGCCTTCCCTGGACAGAAGGGCGTCTTGGCGAGGTGTGAGCCTGTCTGTGCTGCCACTGCAGTAGACAGGGAGGGCTACAGACTGGCCCACATCAGGGATCACCAGGCAAACTGAAGAGATGTTAGCACCCAAGCAGAGCACTGCTGGACCCAGTATTTAGTGTGCACGACTGGAAGGGAAGTCGCTCCTTCATGGTGCGGGCCAGTACCGGCTGAGCCTCCCCCCATGCTCCAGCTGGGCCGCGCAGGGCTCGGTTCCTGCCTTGCCCCAGAGGCAGGCCTGCTCTTCGTGGGGTTCAGTCTCTCATAATACGCCACCCTGACTCTTACATCCCCAGGAGAGGAGACCTGTCTTGTTCCGGTAGCATCCGCTGTGACTGCTGGACCTCTGCGTGCTGCCTGCTCTCCCGTGTGCTACCCGCTCTCAGCTGGTGCTGCTAACTGTGTCTCATCCTTGGCTCCAGGCTTCCCCTACACCACATCGCCGTGCTGCCAGTACCACGCAGGTGGCAGCCACCGAGACTGGACCTTTCCATAGCTGTTTCAACCTACTGGTTATTTTGTTCCATTTAATAGTCCACCACCCATTTTTTTCTCCAAGTTCCCAGGCTATGTTCTGCTGCATCGTTCTGCTGGGCTTGCTGACAGCCTGTTGCATTGCCACATAACAAAAAACACCCCACCAAACCACCCCTATGCCCTGACACATCCAAACGGGCCCAGCTCAGATATGCCTCCCCTGCTGAGCCAGCGTGGGGACTCACGTACGCAGCAAGGCATGGCTCACACCAACCAAGTGCCATTTTTATTCATCCCATGGTAGAGCAGGACTTCCCACATAAGCGACCCTCTCCTCCAGCATCCTCCTGCCTCTGGGGTGACATTTCTACAGCTTTCCCAGCAACATATGAGAGATCTGGCAGCTGCAGAGCCATCAGCTGACATTAGCCAAGAAGCTCTGAAAAGTTACACTTTCCTCCTCCCTTCCTTTTGAAGTAAGGAGACCACCTAAGCCAAGAAAAAAAATGCTTTTTAGAAGGCTTAAGTACCATTCTCCAAAGGGCTTAGTTTTTAAACCGGTACCAAAACTCTCCTTAGGAATCAGAACTACATCAGAATAACCACCCCCCAGTGTGTTCGCTGGGGGGTTTGGTTTTGGTTTGGTGTTACTGCTCCCATCCTCCCTGCAGCACAACACCCACGCACTGGCATTGTGTGCTGAATTACAGCAAATGCAGGGGCAGGCGGGAGCCATCACACCAGAGCGCAGGCAGCGACCGCCTGGCAGCCCATTTCAAAGCAAGGAATCAAAACGTTTGGGCAACAAGCCACTCCTTCAGTAGCCCCACTGTAGCTGCCTGCGACAGCCTTTACATAAAGAACATAAACTCTACAGTTTCTCAAAAGACACCCCCCCAACCCCAAAAGACAATAAAATGGAACAGCAATTAAAACACCACCTTTTTGGTGTATTGCTATTCCATTTTTATGGTAATAAAAGGAGATGGTGCCACACATTTTATAATGGTTCTCTCAACCCAAAACATGTTTATGAAGAAAAATCACTCAATCAATCCACGTCTGAGGTAGCTTGAGATGACAGGTAATATTTTGAAGTGTACTAAGCGTCTCGTGGTGGTTTTGCTTCTGGTTAGCCATTATTCAACATAGATGCACATAAAAGCATTTCATGCAACAGGCAGAGCAGCACTGAGCTGCACTGCATTTGGCATTTGCAATTCAGAGAACACACATGTAACCTGGGACCAGTAACTGATGAAGTCACATCAGAAAAAAAAAAGTATTCTATGTCTATTTATTAGAGGAAAGGAGGGTAAATCTAAGAAAAAGCAAGAAGATAAAATAAATAGAATTGCAGCCATCCTCTACAGCTACGGGTGCACTGTATTAAAGTGACACTCACCATACAAAGAAATGTGTTTGGTACAGTCCAGTGGGTTGCACATGAATTGCATAACCTTGAAAATCATTGCACAAACCGTCGCAGCAGGAACACAGTTCAGAGCTTTTCTACGGGAGATGCTTCAAATCCGATCGCTTTTGTTATGTGGGAGGTCAAAGCACATGGCACAGGGTAAGCAAAAAGACTGTGAAAAGGGATGCTGCGTCAGCGCCCGGGCACATTCAAACCCCGGCATTGGCTCTCGCAGCAGCTCAGGCCTGGACAAGCGATGTCCGACAGGAGAAGCCTGCTGCCTATCAAAGCCTTGAAATTAATACTCCGATCCATGTCTGGGCACCTGTTGGCAGGGCTGGAGGGAGCCTGCTCCTCGCAGCCCCGACTGGAGGCACCGCGTCAGCCGGGCAGCCAGCGCTCCTGGCCCCGGGAGCGCTCTCTCCAAATTCAGAGGGGAAAAGCGAGGCGCCTCCGAGCCAGCATCTCGGCACTGCACGGCAGCCTTGGTGGGACCCGGCCAGCGCCAGCGTCCCCAGCCACCGCCCGCCCCCAGCTCCTTCCCTCCCGCCGCACGGCGCGGCAGGCTGTCAGACACACGTCTCCACACGGATCAAGCAGAGAGGTCTAACTGTGCAGCAGCTTTTCTTCCCCCAGTCTGTGTGTGTGAACACCTGCCTCTGCTTTTATTCGTGCAGCTTCCAGGGATCTGTGTATAGATTTCTAATTTTCTGCTCAACATCAAGTGCAGGAAATACAGGCTTTCACAGCATGGGGAACAAACCACAGCTAAGATGACCAGGAAACATTCATAATTTTTAATTCACACCAGTAATAAAATTGCATTACATTTTTCATAAAATAAATGTTCCAGTTTATATACAGAAAACAGACTGTACAGAGCCCTCCCCCAGACCCCAAAAACTCACAAACATACAGGCAATGCAGTGCTCAGCTAAGCAGGCACAACTGTACATCTAAAATTGTAACTGCTTTGTGTTGGGGGGGAAAAGTACTACAATGTATATAGTCCTCTCTGGACCAAGAATTAAAAAAATATTGCAGGCAAGCTGACAGGCGCCCTCGCTGCTGGTGCGGCCGAGCGCCCATCCCACAGTGCTTCAGCGAAGCAGGGTTTGTTATTGAACCTGGGACTCGAAGCTCCCGTTCAGCTGCCCTTCCTCATAGTCCATCTGACACAAGATCATGTTGTTCTTCAGGAAAAATTTGTCTCCCACACAGAATCTGGAAGATAAAAAAAAAAAAAATTAACGGGTGTAAGTATGAACAGAGGTTGGAACAAGGGGAATTTGAGGCTGGCTGGCTCTGAAGGCGACTCTGGGGACCAGAGTTTGATTTCCAGCTCTGCCAGTGGCGTGGGACCCCGGGCAAGCCCACGTGCTTCTCCCCTGCTCCCCGCTTCCGCGCAGGCGCCCGGGGGATTTGCCGTCCCTTCTCCTGGCACGGCGGTGCTCGGCTCCCGGCCGCGGCTGTACGGAGCAGCTCGGGGAGCAGGACCCAGTCCCGGCCGGGTCCCGCGCCGGCGGCGGGAGGAGGCCGGGGGCAGTTAAGGGATTTGTCCCCGCAGACGAGAGGTGTCGGCTCTACAAACCGGGAAATCAAACGAGTGATAGTACACAGAGACTATTTGAAGTTTTTGCTGGTATCCACTTTCCATGGTTCCCTCGGGTGAGGCAGTATTTACACTAATTTCCAGGGAAGGACTGGCTATTAAGTCCTTCCTCACCCCCTTGTGTACAGTGCTGAACAATAAATAGAAATTTCCTGGTGGCTGGACTCCTAACCTTTATCTTCATTGAACGAAGGGCACTGCTCTCTATATACCATGTAAATTGTTCTGTTTGTCTTGAAGTTGACAGAGAGGCTTGTGATATTTAACAATTTTATTTGACCATTAAGGTCAAAAAAGTTCCACATATAAGATCTGAGAGGAGTGAATTGACGGCCAATAGCTTTTTCCGCCCTGCCTGCTTGCTCAAGAATCAGAAGCTAATCTTTACTACCTAAGATAACAAATAATGCTTTTCGCACGCAGTTCAGGGGCTGGTTTTTTGTCCATCACACTAGCAGGGCAATGACAGACCAGAGCACAGGGCTGCGCCTCCCTGCCCCAAGCAATGAGTCTTAAATCCGCGCCAAGTCCCTAAAGCAGAGAGGCACCCCGGCCACTGCGCCGAAAGGCAGCTCTGAACCGAGAGGAACAGGTATGTACCAGCCTCTAGCGAGGCCGAACATTTACTGAGCTTTGAAGAAAGATCAATGGAGATGACCCCATCCTCAGGAGGCTTAGCAGACCTCAAACGCCCGTTTCCTCTGCTCCCAGGCAGAGCTTTGGCAGGGACATAGCTTATTCTTTGTCTAAAGTGCTTTCTAGGTTTGTAACTCAAGCAGCTTTGGGCAGAGTATCCCCATAAAACTGAATATTTTCTGCTACAAGAACAGGACCAATCATTTTAGTGCTCCTTTAGAGGTCTGATATGGGCACAAGTTTTCTCCAACTGGACACCTGCAAATAAACTGATTAATTTGCCAAGTCCGTACAGAGAACTGGGCATTCGTTCTCATTTTATATGATTCCTCTGGAGACCTTCTATGTTCTTCCCTCTGTAGCCCATGCTTTAGTCATGCAGAAATTCAACCTTTTTTGTATATTAAAAAGCTAAACATTAATCTCAATTTAAATGAACAGATTTTATGACGAAAACTGTACTGCATACACGCTCCTTTACACCACCTTTCCCATCAGTAGGTTTACTTGCTATAACTAATGGAAATAACTGCTTGCTTTTTGCTACTTATCCCTACCTTAAGTACAATATCAATCTCCAGGAAGAGAAATGCAAAAATTACTCTTGCCACCAGCATCATCAACAACTGTCTCTTGCCAAACCTGCTTTGGGTCTAGAGGAGCCAAAGGAGGAGCTGGAGAACTAGGGAATTGGGGGGGGTTGACGGGGACAGGACACACGGTGGTGTGTATAAGCACACGGGAACAAAAACGCACATCCGGGATACCCTGAGAAGGTCTTGATTCACTGGAAAACAGATTATTTCTTTCCACCTGCCAGTCCTGCAAACCCGGCGTCAATAAACTGGGATCTCTCCAGCTGATGCATCACAACTGGAGACAGAGGATTTAACAGGGCAACTTGAGACCCAGTTTCGTGTGTCCCAGCCCACAGCTCCCTTGCGAGCGAGGCGTGGGGCCGAGCCGCCAGCCCCCGTGCTGGGAGCGGGTCTGTCGCAGCGCCCGCCGGGCCCATCGAGCTCCAGCCAGCAGCAGCGAGAAGCAGGCGCTGAACTTACCCTGCCATTTCTACAGAGTGATTTTCTTCTGAGCAAAATCACATTTTCGGTAATGGCAACACAAGCGGCTGGATTTCCTGCAACTCCTGCAGTACTGGCCTATTAGCCAGTTACAGCAGTAACCAGCTTTTATTCAGTATTGTGACAAGCATTGTTGACCTTGTAACAGTTCAAAGCACAGTAGGCTGAGTAGCATTGCAGGACTTGCTGCAAACCTGATATTTCTGAGAATTAAGCTAACGAAAATACTACACGCAATAAAAATATTAGAAATTTTTCTCTGATGGATGTAACACTCTACACAGAGTCTAGCTACAAAAGGGCAAATAAGCTGGAAGAGAACTAGAGAAAGGTCTTTATAACCAACTCTTTTTATAGCTGAAGACGAGATGGGGTTTCAGGTGGGGGGTTCCAATTCAGAACTAGATTTGGCAACCACATCTGCAATTTTGACTTCAGGGTTACTTAAACTCACTGTTCTCGGTTCAGCATCTAATGTCACTGAACCTTTCAGGACAAAATCTCTAGAGGATAAGTCATAAAACTTTGTAGCCTTTTGATCTCAGCCAAAAATAACAATCTAGACGTAGCTCTACACCGTCTACTCAGCCCATCGTTCAGAAAAACTCAACTCCTCCCAAACCGGGCAAATCCCTTGTGCATCAAAGCGTGACTCTGCCAGGACCGGGGGATTACCTGCGCTTTCCTGCCAAGCAGTGACAGCACACGGAGGTTATTTTAAGGGCAGGGTAGAACTGCACTTTGCACTGAGTGCAGTAACAGTGTTAGCAATAGCAGAGGGAGGAGAGGTGCTTTGCAGCCTTTGTAATAAAGGGTGAAATTTAAAAGAATTCCCTGAAAATTAAAACTAGGTGATACTAAGCTTTTCCATGAGAGAAGCTATGGTAATTAGGGGTTTGATGACAAATACTCACCCTCCAGACTCCAGCACCAACCCAGCGCTCCTGCCTGTGCAGCCCAGAGCAATGACTTGCCTCTCCCAGAAGAGAGATTTGAGATGCTCTAGCCCTACTATCGGCGGAGAGTTTGGGAGCACCCCCCTCCTGCGTGGCCATCACCGGCAGGCTGAAAAAAGCCGAGACTGAGGGCTGAGCCCGGCAGCACCTCGCACCGCGTCCGAGCCTGGAGACAAACCCCCGGGCACCCAGCAATTCCAGCGGTGTGAAGAAAGACTGTCTCGGAGAAGGAATGTATCGGTTATGCAAAGTCATACGCTACTGGCCTGGAATCAGGGCTCTTTCGGGAGCATGTTCACCAGTGGCAAGGCAAGACTGGGCAACTGGAAGACTCATCGCGGCTGCTAGAAAGGAGCCCAAGGCCAGGAGCCACTAGATGTCACTGCCGCCTCGGCGCTGCCACCGCGCCCGTGGACCCGCTACGATTAATAGGAGTTTTCTACCCCGAACAAACACCGCCTCCGCCTTCAATAACGGGATTGAGTAAAGCCACCCGAGCTACAGACAGCTTGCCCGATTCTCCTCCTCCATGCTCTGGCACCAACCAGCCACAACCCCGTTCATCCCCATGAACTGAGCCACTGTCAGAGAGCACGGAAGGAGAATCAGACCCCAGTTTGCAGGGTTTCCTAAGTTTAGTGGGAAAGCTCTGCATCCACACATGCACTGTGTAGGGCTACTTCATTAGAGATCCCACCGTGACTTGTTCTGGGGCGAGTGATGATTTTTTGAGTCAGGCTTTTAGTTTGACTTTTACAGACTTAGGTTCTCCATCTTCCCAAGAGTTTTGTCGTGTCTGTCACACCTTCACATGGGATGAAGCACTGCCTCCTAGTTTACTCTTTGGGAAGCACAACCAGAAGTCCAGAACAGGAACCCCGGCACAGCCCTTGGGCCCTGGGCAGTCACTACAGCCCAACTAAACAATCAGTAAGAACAACAAGCACTTTCAGGCCTGTCTTGGATAAGGATGGATGGATGCATCAGAAGGTGAAACCATCACATCTGCTTCTGTGAGCTTCCATTCTGCCTACAATGACCAACAAACAGGGTGCTGAGAAGATTTTTCACAGCCCTTCCAAATTCAGCTGGCTACAGGTAGCCCAAGTGAAAACCTTCTGCATGATCCGTTACTATACTCCTTGATGAGAATTTTCCACTGGGTAAAACCCAGTAGAAATACACAAGCCCCACTCAAAACTACACCACCAAGATCCCATATTAATTACACAACAACTAAAGGGATTTGTTCCTAGTGCTGGAAAAGGCCTATCTGGAGTATTTTTCTCCTGCTTGTCCCTACTTCTTTGCTGTCCCCAGTTTTGAGCCTGTCAGATTTAAGCAAAATATCATCAGTTTGCCAGAGCAGCTCCATTCTCTATCATCTGTGTCCTGCAAAGAGGGCAGCTCCTGAAAGGACGCTTGAAGCAGTTTGTTTTATTCAGCAGCAGCTGTGCTGCGTACAACCATGGCCAGATCTGCAGTCTGTGTGCTCCCCCTCTCCCCTCCAACTCCCACCTGCTCCAAGGGGATTTGCAGTAAAGGGGCTACAGGTACGTACAAGCATCACCCAGGTCAGCCTAATAAACCTGCCTGAGCCACGCCAGCAGGCTGTGAGCCCCAGACAGGTAGCGTGGATCAAACACTTCCCCTGTTTTGCGGGCAAAGGTATAAATTAGTTTGTATTTGTGTGTATAATAACTGTGTCCTCACCGCTGGTTGCAGAGCTGACAGGCAAAGCAGTCCAAATGGTAAACATTATCTCTGGCCCTCATCACCATCTCAAAGGCAGGGATCAGTTTACTGCAGGCAGCACAATTCCCGGTGGTACCAAAGAGCCTGCCAAAGAAGCACAATCATTAGAAGCCATTTTAATTAAATGGTGGAAGGACTAATTAAGTGTAATTAGCAGTATCAAATACTGTATTGCACCAATAAATAGAAGTTGCAGTCTCCATTTCGCTGACCAACCAGTGTGCGGGAACTTGGGATAAAACTGCCTGGTGAGCAGGCTCCGATTGTCGAGATGAAACTTCATTTGGTTTGTGAGCCTAGGGCTAATTTGCTGTCTAATGGAGAAAAGCATTAAACACTTAGAGCACTATTTTGGGGCTCACAAAATTTCAGTCAAAAACTATCTGCGCCCCCGCAGCAGTGGGGTAGGTGCTCGGAGCCATCCGTGCTCCTCCGCACGTGCTTGCCCCGTCTGCGCTTGGCCGCAACCGAATGGAGGGGCAGGCTGGCAGCCTCTCACAGGAGACCTGCAGACTTTGCCAACCCTGGCAGGCAACGCTATAATATAGCTCAGGAAGAACCTCACTTACCTGCTCTTTAAAATGAAAAAGCGCAGTTTCTCTTGCGATGAGTACACCAGCATTTTGCAAGGCATCTCGGAGAGCAAACACTCCTCCCTGGCTATGCCCCCCTCCTCCTGCCTCCGCGTCCCTCCCGGGAGCCAGCTAAGCCCTTCCACCGCAGCCTGAACAGCATGCTCAGCCGTTCCACTTCAGCTCCCCGGTCCTCGAGGACAGCCCTTCAGCACTGGAAGCTTTGCCATTTTCATCTTGGCTTTCACTATCTGTCTCCCCAGATGTCTGCTGCTGTTACAGCTCCTGCCGGGGGACTCAACCAAGACTGCAGCATCCTTCCCCCAGCCCCCTTCTCCAAGACGTCCCTGCAGACCCCTGTGCATGCCAGGGGCAGCATGCCATCGCGACATTAAAGCTGCACGAACCATCCACGCCACGAATCAACAGGGCGACAAAACCAAGTTTCACCCGAGACTGTGGTCAATTCGCTTGTGTTTAGTTACTTTGCTTAGGAGATGATAAAAATCGTATTCCTGGGGCGATGAGCCTCAAGAGGTACGATTCCTGCTGACCATTAGCTCTGCGTGTGCAACGCATCGCTGCCCACAGACAGATTTGGGCTCGTGGTTTGTTTCAAGCCATTGGTTCTGGCTGATTCCACAACACACAGATGAGAAGCATCAGAAAAATCTATAACCAATTTCTAAACCTGCAATTTGCCAAGCTAATCAATACTAATTATTACTGGCCAGTAATTGTGAATTAAAACACCCAGCAATGTTATAGAAACCTCCACAAAACTCTCCCACCCTCCCACAGCGATGTGCTACTGAAGTCAGCTTGCTCTTCAGCTATAAAAAAAGGCTACCCTTATTTTTCACTAGAAGTGGTGTCAATGGTCTTTCATTAGGCCTGGCTGGAAAACCCCAAGACTTCCTATGAAGAAACAGCACTATGTTCTCCCTGGAAGTTAGACAGTGCAAACCAAATGCAAACACTTGTGCAGGACGGAAAAATCACAAAGGGAACACCCAAATTTCTTCCCCTGCAGTCATACGAAGGCTGAAAGGCAGAGTGCAACCCCCAGCTATGCAGCTTGGGCTGGCAAACTCGGACCAGGTACTCGGTCGCAGGGCAGCCCCTTCCTCCCTGCAAGCTGCCTCCGCCTCGCTGCTGCTCGGGCAGGCAGGGGAGGCAGCTCAGCGCCGTGCTAGGCTGCCTAACGCCAGCAGACCCCACTGAAAAAATGTGGCACTGAAAAGCATACAGGTCTCCACCCCGAAACGCCCTGGCTCTCATTCAGTACCCGCTCGCAAATCAAGCCATTAATACAGACATCCCTCCCTCCCCCCCCGCCTCCCCCAGCGTAGCTGCCCCCTTCTACAGGACCTCACTTGGGCATAGCAAAACCTGACAGCTCTTGCTGGGGCTTTGCCATTTTCCGTAAAACCAGGCATCCGTTTTTAGAGTACCCAAGTCACACCAAACTCACAAAATGAGTCTAATACATTAGGCAGGGAAACTGGGAGGTTAATCCTAGATTTGCTCTGTGCCCAGCACTGCTACATGCACAAGTATAAAATATCCATTATTCATTAGCATCACAGTTGTGTGGAGCTCAATCTAGATTAAACAAAATAAAGGGGCCCCAGACAGCACCATTTGCATTGTTAAGCAGGCGCTTTTCTTCAGCCTTCAAATAGGAGACTTTTCTAAATGGAAATTATGGGGAAATTTGGACAGATGTTCACTTAACTATTTAAACAGTTAGCTTAAGAAACATGAAAAATGTATTTGGCATCGTATTCACCTGTCTCCTTTCAGGGGTTTTGGGGGTAAACCGATTGTTAAACAGCTTTGACTGTTTGCATAAGATCTGAAGCTTATGTTCTGTCCAGCTGAAATCGTGTCGCCTTCTAATGTCTACATAAACGTAGCTTCCAGCTAGTCAGCGTGCTGATCTTTTTCTCTTCTATCAAGTTTCACAGTCCCCTATACCCTCCCTTTCCCAACAGATGAACATTTCACACTTATTCTAGCACTTCCTAATTTTAATCTGCTTTTCAGAGAGTGATTTAGAGCCCTGTATATTCACCATGCTTCTAAAAATATGCTGTAACTTGTAGCTCAGTGAACACATTTTTTTTTTTTTTTAATCTGCTGGAAGAAACATCAAAATGAACACAGACTTTTGCCTTTTTTGTTTGCTTGTAAAAAAACCCGCCACCTCTGATAACAACTTACCCAGAAGCTACTTGGGCTGAAACTTTCTGAGGTGAGGAGCTTAACATTATTGGAGGAGGGAAAGAAGGAGGCAGAGGAGAACCCCATCTGTGGTTAAATTTAAAATAACCCCACATGAACAAACTGATCTACATTCTGTCCCCCAGACACCTTCGTAACAGATGCAATACTTTCTTGCACATTCACGCACATAAAGTTGAAGCGCATTAGAAAAATCTATCAGAAGATGCTCCGCATCTACTTACCAGCTTGGAGCCACTGGCATTAAAGAAGATGGAAATACAGAAAGGTTTTAGTTTGGAGTTGTTTCGCTGCTTCTAAAAATCCCATTTTTTTTCATAACCTTTTGAAGTTAAAAGGCAACAATTTTTAAGAACATATTTATTCCTCCTTATGTAACAGGAAGACCTAGTCAGCTTGTAAATAAGCATAGACTATGCAGATTTAAAATTTAGCACAATTAAACTTTTACCCTGTGGTAGTAATTATGTTTAATGGCTCTTAGCCTGACTTAACCATGTCTATTGTTGTCAGCCAGTCTAAAAGCAGGAGTTTGTCCAAGGACAATTTTCTGTAGTTTACAGGCACACTAAAAACCCCGCTACGCGCTGTTCTCATTGGCCATTGATGTCAGTGTGCATAGTAAAAATTAAAGCTAATTGGCATACAGGAGCAGCAGTGAATGCAAATGAATTAATGGGAAAAGAAGGGAGCGCGCCTGGAAGCGGTAGGCAACTGTCGAAGGATGCTTTTTATGTAGTCTTGTCTGGGCGAAAGAGTAGTCTTCTGCATGATGATCCTGACCTCACCAGCTCTGTGCATACACCTGAATTCAAACTGTAGTAAAGCCACAGCACTCTGCGGGTTTTGGCAGAAAAAAAGAATGGTAAAGGGTCCTTACTGTTGGGAAAACAGTAATGAACTTCTCATATGAACACGTTAAGTTTAGCACCTTTTAACAGATTTTCCAACCAAAGTGTGCAGGGTGGCTAAACTGAGAACCCGATTGCCTATTTCTGTCACCACTAGAAAAAAATAATCTGTTTTAGTCATTGACTACGAGGACAGACGCCCCATTTCTTCTCCTCTCTCTACCCCGGTCTCTGACTAGCTAGCAGCTTGCAGCTGAGAAAGAGGGAGAAAATCTTTCCTCCACAGAAAGAGTGAAAATTTTGGAGCTGTTGACTTCACAGGAGACAAAAAAAGAGGAACCAGGACAGGCACAGATAAATAATGAGTTGTACAGAAAGGATGGGTTGGGAGTCTCAGTCAGATTTTTTTTCCAACAAGACAAGTTCAAAATTAAACAGCTGAGTTGAGACTAATAATTCCCCAAAATAAGAGGCTTTGTCAACACTGAAAGGTAAGAATTATGAGTTGAAAGAGGACTTAACACTTATATACAGATAAATATCTACATCTGTAGATATTGTGTACAGCTACATATTTCTCTATATATTTGTATATTCAGATTATCTGGATATACAAGCTTTTGAAGAGCTACCGAATGCCGTGCTCATATCCTCTCCAGCTAGTAGGTGAAACAGGTTTTCCCATACACCTTCCCTATATGCCTGCTGCCATTTATTTCCTAGCTCCATCAGGACCTGCAGTAGAACAAGACTTGCTTTACGTACCTGAAACTTGTCATGAAAAGAAAAGGTTTCGCCCCTACTATTTGAAACAAACCAACAACTAGAGTTCCAGTGAAGACGGCTCTTATCAGCTTGCAATCAGTATTTTTCCCATCTGTGGATATTAGAAATATGCTGAGCTAGAAGTCTGATTTGACCAAAGTACTGAATGTGGCAATAATTGCGGGGAAAGCCTGGACATCACTTATAAAGATAAAAAGAATAAGCTTAAAAGCAACTTCAGACTCAAGGTTCACAACTTCCCTGTAATCAGCCTTTGTGTAAAACTCAGAGAAAGCCTTAGCGATAGGCATTTCAGCACAGTAAATACATATTAGCGGGTGCCCCCATCTAGCCAGGACACCGTTGTCAGTGCTGCAGTGGGAAGCCATGTCAGCTGAAGGAAAGGAAATGCATTTTGATACTAATGAAGTTGGTCAAGCTGTCCTCTCATGAAGCCTTCAAGTTCAGTCCCAAAGAATTCCCATCTTGCGTGCCAAAGGGTTTGGCATCCATGGGTAGCATAGCAGGAGGAGTTGAACTGGCATGGTACAAAAAAGCCCTCTGGTCAAGTGACCACACTGGTTCAGAGATTACTGGGCATAAACTTCAAGGTTGCTCAAGGGCATCTGTTTTCAGTTGAAGAACGCAT